GAAACAATCATTTCCCAAAGTTAGTAATTATATAAGCCACCTAAAATCCTTAAGTGGGCTACAAAGGATGTGATCTTTGGTACACTATAAAATTTTAGATTTTGAACACTTACATATAACTATAAGTTATAAACCAGTTTTCGCAACAAAAGCTTTTGTTTTTAAATACCCGTATGACATGTTTAATGTTGAATCTAGCTCGATGCCACATTTGTCACAGAACCGACCAATTTATAAGAGTACAAGTACGAAAACAATCGTAAAACGATCAAATTCTCGAACTTGCGCCCATATAAACCCGGTAGTCAACTGAAATCACGACGGATTTCAAACCAACTTGCATACAACCAAGATCACGGTAATTCAACATAACATATAAACACGTTACAACATTTCGCAGACGTTCGCAAATAGATTACATCAACACAGAGTCATCGTTATTACAAAACAAGTCTTGTAACATAGCGGAAGCAAATAGTTTAACTCACACACACGAGTTCAATACCAGTACCGGTTTTTTGATCACATCCCACAAAAGCATTGAGATAAGATAACGAGGAGATCATGCCCGTGATCTAGTCTTCGTCACCCGGCCAGGGTGGAGACAATACTTACAGAATCCACGATAGAGAAGGTCATACGCAACAAGAGGGAAATAAACCACGAGTACAGGAATGTACTCACTAGACTTACCCGACGGAAACCAAAATAAAAGACACCAAGGATCATGCATAGCTTTATTTAGTGGATCTGGTGACACTTTCATTTGCGAGAAAAGCATATGTAATAATGATTAACTTTTATCCGAACTAGCGGTGACTTTAAGCCATTAACTTTGTCATCTATATTAGCTTTTGTACTAATCAACCACTTGATTAATATGCAAACATTAATAACCATAGCAGGTATAATTCTCGGCAACATTATCATCATCATCATCATTATCCATTTAACCATAGCGTTAAATTAATTGAATCTACGTTGCATTTGCTCAAGTCAAGTTCTCACTATCCAGGGAGAGGCGGCGATTGAATCGATTCCTATCCGGTGGAGGGTATTCCTAACACAAACCACGCTTCCCCGTCGAGGTCGCAAACAAGTCACCTTTGGTACAACTCGGGAGAAAAGTAAGAGAAAAGACGCGGGTCCGGGCCGCCCCGCATTCTCAGAGAACCACTCTGCAGAAGTGCAGGATCTTAAACCTTGACTCCCCTTGGACTTATGCCAATGGCTCTCCGCACATCCTTACTACCTCCGAATGCATCCAACCCCCACGGTTCCCGGCACCGAGTTGAGCTACTCGGCCGGCGGTCGGAACGACTTATCCGGCCAGCTAAGTGTTAGGCTGCGTTCAACATGACATGAGGACGTACAGCGTATCGGTCCTTAAACGACGCAGACGGAGTCACTATGTTCAAACCTACACAAGACTCCGCCCGGTCTTAATTCATTATTCACATGGTTCTTTTCCACGATAGCAAATATAGCCAACCGTGATCCACCTCATCCTAAATCTCGCGGGTGTGAAATCACACGACTTCTACCGCACTAAGCATGGCTAAGCATTTAACCCGTTCTGAACTTAAATAGGATTCGGTGCGATATCACGGACAAGGAGGGATATATAATGCAGCAATTGGTTCCAACCAATTCCTATACTTAATGCATCATCAACAATAAAGATACTCAATATATTTGTAAAGACATGGGAGACTTATAATGCTCGGGCTTGCTTTTCAGGAAAGAGGAAGGTGGTGATCGGGGCACTCGGGCAACTCCTCGGCGACGGTCGCTTCTTCGACTTCCTGCACCTCGGGCTCCTCCTGGTTGGCTCCCTCGAACTCCAGCAACGTCACTCCCTCCGGCACACCTATTGCATGAATGCGCAAGATAAGTATCATGGATGCATATATACGAATGTCGGGGATGCTCGGGGAATGCACATGTTATTGTAGTTTGCATATTTCAACTTAAGCCCTATTCAAATCACTTTACTTACCAAGTTTATACAACCTAATGTATAATTGCTCATCTTCAGTTAATGACCTAGCACCTGCACCTAAGCATATTCTCAAGTTAGGCTAACCCCAAACAATTAACGATTACGTTGCAACACATTCAATCAAGCATTTGTATTTCAGCAAATGAAGACTATATATATCGGTACATTAAACTAGCCATAACTGGAGATGTATAATTCCAAATGACATGAAACAAGACAATCTGGAAAGCTTATGAAATTGTCTACAATTCATTTTAGACCTCAAAGCATGATTCAAACCTTTACCAGGTCGAATTCATCAATCAACAGAAGTCTATCCACACAAGGCAGAGAATCAGCAAAAACTGCAACCTAACTTTAAACAGCTGTAGTTTCTAAACTACTGGGCCAAATGCCCTCAAATTTTGACAGGAGCTAGATACATAAGTTACCTACAACTTTTGTATTCAACACAAGCACAGAAAACCACATTATCATGGGGAACTTTCCAAAGTCCCCAGATCTGTCCAGAGGGACATAATGCCAACAACTAATTAGCAACTTATGATGTAAACATATAATTAGACAAAACCAACTTTACTATCTTATCACACATATCCTAAGAACACCAGAAAGTAGGATGTCCATTACCAAAACATTTCTTTTAATACCTTTCTTAATTTATTTAATTAATTAGGGGAAATAGTAAACCTATATGAAAACTGCCCCATTAATTCTACAAAAATTACAGTAGACACTACATACTCTAAGTAGACTACCATAAAAATTTCACACCATTTGAGCAAGTAGAAAAGCCTACACAAAAATGACAAGGCATAATGGCTTAAAATGGCATAATTAGGAAACCCTAATGAAAAGTGTCAAGCAACAGATTTCATATTTTTCCTAGCATCCTTAGGGTACTAGGATACTACCTACCAATTTTCATGGCCATTGGATTCATAAATAAATTACTAAAATTTACACAAGAATTACCTGATGATAAAAGGAAAATCTATAACTCAAAAACTACACATGCCATGACTCTCAAATTTTAACCAGAGCTTCTACTATACAAGACTAGCTCACCCACAAAATTTCATAATTTTTGGATCACAGAAACTCAAGATATGATTTAAACAAGTTTGCATGCATTCAAAAACACTTTTCAAGTTCCTATTTAATTCACCCAAAATTTCTACATAATATGCTCAAGATATATTTTTCTTAAATACTAGACCTAACAGTGAGTCTAACAAAATTGGAAGTACTCAATTTGGATCTACTAAACTCAAGATATGGATTTTACAACATTGCATTCAAATCTGTAAAGCTGAACTATCTTTAAGAACAACGACCAGCAGCGTGTGGGACCCGGTGTCGCCGACCCCTTCGGTCAGTGGCGGCAGCAAAGAAGAGGAGGCGGCTTGACGACGGGAATCCGGTGGAGCTCGACGGCGGCGGCTTCTCCAGCGATGATGAGCGGCACCTACGTGACCGCCTCAATCTTCTGCGCGTCGATTGACACCTAACCACCAACTCTACCGACCCCTAAGTACCCGGCCCACGGAGCTCGGCGGCTCGGCCATGGCGGCTGGCGGCGCGGCCGTGTTCGGCTCAACGGCGGCGAATCCGAGACTATGCCTTTGAGGTAGACACTCACGGCTCCTACGGTTCCCCATGCGCGCGCACTAGAAGAGCGAAGAAAGGAGGCGGAGGGCGGCCGCCACGACGAGCGCTAGCTCGGCGAGGTCACGCCCATGGCGATGTGGCGGAAATGGTCACTCGCGACCTTACCCAACCATGAACGGGCGCAGCTAGGAGGTGGAGAAGGTAGAGCGAGGCTACGGCGGAGTCGTTGGCGAGATGGCGATCGACTTTTGCGGTGGTTCGTGAGCTCGGCGGCGATGCGAGGCAGGGCGGCAATGGCGGGCGGGTACTGCTTGGTTGGCGTGGGTCGACGAAGTTAAAGCTTGGGCGAAGCAAATAGACGAGTGATGGGCGGCGTGGCGTTGAGGTGTCCGCGATGACCTGACCGTGGGAATAACGCCGCGGCGTCGGCTCTACCAGGCGTGTACGCTACGGCAAGCAATGACGGCTTCGAGGCGGTCGGCCACTTCTACCGACGGAGAGCGGCCATCGGCCCGCAATCAACCGATCGACGACAAGTTTTCGACGTGCTCAAACTCCTAAACCGTCTTGATCGAGCTCATGTCGTAGTTAACAAAGATGGAGATCTACATGTGGGCTACAATTTTCACAATTGGAGCACGAGCTGGTTCGGCTTGGTTTGTGAGATACAATGCTCCAAACATCGACACATGAAACCGAAAACCGGTTTCGGACTTAGAAAATTTTCCGAGTTTCAACATAGATCTCAAAACTGACTTGTGGGTCCTTTTTTGAACATGTTGTGCACATTTTCATGAGATGGCTTCTAAACAAAGTTTGTTCCTTATTAAATTTACTACAACTTTGCTTTAGGTTGCTCCAACATGCATAGACTCTAAGTTACACTTTTAAACAGTCAAACTCGGGAGCTCTAGGGGTCCAATTTGGTCAACCATGACTTGGAAACCTAATTAGGCAAAATGATCAACATGAACATTGTTCCTAATGACATTCTAGGTGTAACTAAGTTACTTAGGAGGATCATTAGCCACACCACACATTGGTCACACAAGAATCAAGCAAGGTATGTACTGAAACAATGAAAAACACATGAAATGTTGCAACTGTTTCATAGTCATGTTTCACTTGTTTCATGATTGTGTTGCATAGCACTAACTAACCTTGTTTTACTAAGTGAGTGGCACATGTTGCACTTAAGTGTTGCACACTTTACATTTCATAAAAGAAACAATACACAGGAAATACACAACATGTTGCAATGTTTCGAAATCATGTTTCATGTGATATAAGTTCAAGAATGGATGCATGATGCTCATGTTCATGAAATGTAGTGCAAATGTGGAAGCCAAACACCTGGGGTGTTACAAAGGTCCTTCAACTTGCTCACCCTAGCCCATTTCTGCCTCCACTTCCTCAAGTGGTTGTACACTTGAGTTGGGCTAACAACCTCCCCACAGAACTGCTTGAGGGCTTTAGCCACAGAATTCACATCTTTGTCCTTGAAAACCTTTTCAGGCCTGCTACCATCACTAACAAGGGCAGCCATCCTCCTTAGCACAAAGCCAGAGGTGGTGTTGGTCCACCTCATTGCCCGCACAGCCCCATTCCCAGCTACAGGAGCAGCAACATCAACAGGGTTTGCTGCACCTGGAGCAGCACCAGCACCAGCACCAGCTGCAACAGGGGCAACAGCACTAGCACCAGCACCAGCTACAATAGGGGCAGAACCACCATTGATGAGCTGCTCCATCACTGAAGTACCAGCAACAAACTCACCCTCAAATGCACCTGAATCCATCCTAGGACTGGCATGTAATGAAATCAACAACAGAATTAGTCAAGAACAGACTGACAACAATATTAACAGTTGTATGAACTAACCACAGACTGACAGATCATGAAGAACAGAATGTTTCAAGAACAGAATGAATGAAGCATAAAATTAGTCTCAGCTTTGTCCACCAAATTATTACATCACCATGACACACACATGAGTGAATTTCAGATCACAATTCACAGCTACCATCACATTTTGGGTGGGATCCTTTTTCCTACCCCTAAAAGCTTGTTGCATGCGCCTAGGAACCCTTGCTAGGAAATGAGTGCCATCTATAAAGCCAATGACATCCTAAAAAGCATGGGTCAGTCATTGCAACAAGTCTAATGTAACTAATGAACCCAGGGTATACAATTACCTTAAAATATGGATTCCATGTATGGCTTCTAAGAATCTTTGGGTGAGTGGTAGTGCTAGCTGGCTTTATCATTTCATTCCTAAGCTCACCCACAGCATACAACACCTGATGGAAGTGCTTGTGGATAGTTTGGATGGACCTCCTAAAGGACTGGTGGACAACCCTAAATCTTTGGTTGTGCCCTACAACATGTAAAAACATGGCAACATGCTCTTCTACTGACACCCCTCCCTATCAGTGACAAGACTCCTCTCTCTAAAAGTTCTCACTAACTTAAAAAAAGCAACTCTCTTCATCCTAATCATAGAAATACACTCTGAATCAGTGGAATTGTATATCATTCTTAGTGTTCTCTGTCTGTGCTTTTCATTTTCATCCCTAAGCAGGGCCAGTGCTATAGGATCAGGCAATGGGGTTTCAGGTTCAGGGGTTTTCCTTTTTAGCCTAGTGGATACAAAGGTAACCATAACAACAGTCAAGGCAGCTGCCTTCCTACACAGCATGTCACGGCTCAAAGACAGATCCATCTACAACCATGTAAAAATGTAACATGATTTTAGCTTAATGTACCCTGCTAGGCATCAACTTGAATGTGAAATGAATGCATGCCAACAAAAGCACGTCTGCATCTTGTATGTGAAGCCTCCTAGTACTATGTGGACAACATCATCGACCAATGATGGAACAAAAAACTCAGAGCAATAGTAATCAGAAACAGATCAACATCCCTAACAGATCAAGAACAGCAAGGTACAAGTAACACTAACAACTGCATCAAACAGTTATGAACAGCAAGGTACAATACAAATCTGAAATAGATCAACAACCCTAATAGATCACGAGCCCAACAGATCAAGAACAACAAGGTACAAGTAACCCTAATAGGAGCATGAAGCAGTTATAACAAGTATGAAACCCTAACAGATCATGAACAGCAACGAACAAGAAACCCTAATAGGTTCAAGAAGCACCACAAAAAAGAAGATTGGGGGTCGATTTCACCTTGGCTCGGGGTCCAAACAAGGGAGAGGAGGCAGATCTGGAAGTAGAGGATGCAGATCGAGAAAAAGACGAGGCAGATGCGGACGAAGAAGAAGAGGAACACCGCTGCCACGGAGTCCCAGCAGCAGCCGGAGCGGGGACGCGGCGAAGAAACTCGGCGCCGGTGACCTAACCCACAACCAGCCGGAGGTCGCCGCCGCCGCCACGCACCACAACTCACCGCCGGTCTCTCACGAGGGAGGTGGAAGAGCAAGCACCGAGTGGAAGAAGGAGAGAGTGGAGAGTGGGAACCCATATATAAAGACCGGCGAAATCGCCGCCATTTCGCTTCGCGCGCGGCGGCCAGAGCGGGAGTGGAGAGCGGGGACGCGCGCGAAGACATTTCCCCTTCCCGCCAGAGCCCACGCGAGCCACCCCGCCGCCGCCCAAAATCGCCCGCGTGCGTCGCAGACGAGCTCGGCTCCGAAGAAACGAGGGTTTTGGTCGTTTCCAGAGAGCCAGGCGGAGAGGTCGAGTGTTGCTCTACGAAGCCAGGCTCGCTTGCGAGCCATCGACCACAAACATGGCAACTTGCAGCCCACGGGCGCAGCTGGGCCTCCGGGCCAGGGTCGCAAACGCGCCCTAAGACGTGGTGTGCCGGTGCTGGACTGCTAGCGCAAGGTGTCGGAGGTGGGAGCCAAACAAATAGTGAAGCAGGTATATTTCAAAATTTTAATTAACAAATTGAATTTATGGATTATTTATGCTGTAATTTGTTGTCTTCTTCTAGAATTACACAATCAAAAGGGCAAATACATTGAAATCTATTTTATTCTCTAGTATGTTGTGTTCTCTAATATCTATTTTTTGTTCACTAATAAATAGAATTTTTATATTGCTTCCCCTGTTGATTTTAAATGTTCAAACTTTCATGTATAGGTTTAGTTGTTGCTGATATGGATGAAGATACGATATGTAGGAATAAACTAAATACTCTATAATTAGATATTTGTTTCATATCACATCATGTTTTTATCAGGTTTATTATACAAATGTATATGGCGTTGAGATATTTTCTTTCTAACTTACGCATTTTATTCTTTTTTTATGTGAACTATTAATATGTGGGCCTATTATAAATTGCTTAGACATTTAGGTAGTGAACCTATGCGTGATTTTTCACCAAATCCGCCACTAGACTGAAGGTTTTATTTGACTATTCGTGGCCTCGAGGAAAGGAGTCACACGAGAACAATGCTACAAAAAAATGTGCAATGATGGGCACTAATGTGTTATTTGGTTTAGCAGAAGTGAAGAGAACATAAATGGAAACCATTCGCACTCGTACATGTTGCAGAGCAACCAATTGTGTCTTCTGTTTGGTTGTTGTCATTGCCGAAGTCAAAGATGCTATCGTTGCCAAAGTCGAAGGCGCGAGGAAAACTCTGCACCGCTGGTTCGACGTCATATGGGAGGTGGGGCTACAAGGGTGTATGGCGCATGCGAGAGGACTAGGTGGCGTGCATGGGGCAGGCGACGTGTTGATTTTTTTTCACGAATTAGGAGCAGGTTGTGCCATGAGAGAAGGGGCTTATATAATAAGGCTGGATCTGTTCACAACATGACCTATTATAGGCTAGGCCAACCAAATGCGAAACAACATCATCTCTTAACATTGTGGATCGTTCCTGGGTTGGAAACACCGAACCAAACAAGCTCCTAAGCATGATCGGATGGGTGCGACCGTGTCAATCCATACATGTTCCTTGCAATATGGCGCCATGTCTCCCATCTGGAGATGCATGCTTCGGGCATGTACAACAGGCGTCGTCTACCATCTATTTGAGTTAACTAACCAGAGGTTAGGTCATGTACAACAGGTCTCTTCAGTCCATCCGTATGTTGGTTTTTTCACAAAACTCCATGCCAATGCCTGGAGGCGAAGCACGTGTCGCCTCACAAGGCGATGAGGGATGCTCATGCTCCGAGGCCTAGTCGACATCTCCAGTAGCTTTGTACCACTTGTCCTCCTGAGTCGACAACGGGTGGATCCTGATGTAGACACATCCCACGGCCCAATCATCTGATAGATATGATAACTTTGATTGATGGAGAACTCGACGTTCGGGATTTAGGCTTCAAACCAAGTCTGATTCGGACCGCCACAACTGTTACACCACTTGTCAGTGTTTTCGGACCACCGACGAGTAAATTTGTATTTGTGTGTCTGGCTCGAATGGTGTACTCGAAGGACACAAGGGTTTATACTGGTTCGGGCAGAACATCCCTACGTCCAGTTCGCTGCTGCTCGTGTTACCGGCACTTGGTTTGCAGTAGGGGTTACAAACAGACGAGAGAGGGAGAGGATCCCAAGTCTCTGGTGTTAGGAGTGAATGGGTGCTGAGAGCTCGCTTGTCGCTCAGCCGTGTGCTCGTGTCGTGCTCTTGTGTAAAAATCCCCCCTTCATGGGGCACCCTACTTCCCCTTTTATAGGCAAAGGGAAAGCACTGGTTACAGAGGAGGAAAAGGAGAAGAACGAGAGAGAGAAGAAGGCTTCCAGGGTTGCCAAGTCCTTCTTCTCCTTCATGCGGGTCCCGTCGATCCTGTAGATGTTAATAGGGATGGCTCCATGTCGTGGCCCTGTTCATCACTGGCACCATGCGCAGGCGTCATCTGCCGGTCATGGCGTTCCACTCTGTTCCGATGGACGTCGTGGTGAACTGACGCGCCTGTCAGCGTCCATACGAGGATTAGGCAGAACAGCATCGGCACGCCCGACACTGTTCTTGATCTGAATCCCTAGGTATGGCCCGTCATGGCCACGGGTTATATCAAGGCGTGCCAGCCTCTTCCATGGCGTCAGAATTTTGATCCAAGCCCATACGCTTGGACCTGGAATGGTTGACGGTGGTATGGTTCCCCGTCGGACAAGACGGAACCCGCGTCCTTAGGGTCGGGCGAGACGGAGCCCGCAACCTTGGGTGAGACGGAACCCGCATCCTTTGGGTCAGGCGAGCCAGAGCCCGCACCCAAGGGGTCGGGCGAGACGAAGCCCGCGGCCTCGAGGTCAGGAGAGATGGAGCCTGCGGCCTCGAGGTCGGGCGAGATGGAGCCTGTGACTTTAGGCGAGACGGAACCCACGTCCTTGGGGTCGGGCGAGTGAAAGCTCTAGTTTGGTTTTGGTGAATTGATGAAACCCTAAGTGCTAACCTAGTTTATCAAAGTGATTATGAGATAGGTAGCATTATTCTAAGTAGTGAAGCAAATGAAGATCATGACATGATAATGGTGATGATCAAGTGCTTGGACTTGGAAAAGAAGAGAAAGAAAAACAAAAATCTCAAGGTAAAGGTGAAATTGATAGGAGCTTTTTAGTTTAGTGATCAAGACACTTAGAGAGTGTGATCACATTTAGGATCGATAGCCGTACTATGAAGAGGGGTGAAACTCGTATCAAAATGCGGTTATCAAAGTGCCACTAGATGCTCTAACTCATTGCATATGCATTTAGGATCTAGTGGAAAGCTAACACCCTTGAAAATGCTTGTGAAAATATGCTAACACACGTGCACAAGGTGATACACTTGGTGGTTGGCATATTTGAGCAAGGGTGGAGAAGTTG